TATTTTTGCTAATTCTGATCTATTGGTAGAGGCTGACTGGAGTTCTGTATTGAGGATTTTGAGGCTTAGTAGAAGACAGACCTGGGATCAATTAGCAATGTCTGCTGTGAGCAAGGGAAAGAGAGCAGTGACACATTTACTTACCATATATTTGCCACTCCTGACATTGACATCCAAAATCTTCTTTGGGTCAGATCTTGTGTGCTTTTATGATTCCTTTCACCTGTACTGTTTTCTTTGCCCTTTGCAAGGACCTCTCTAAGGGGCTGTTACCACCTCCCCCAACCAGGAATTGACAGTGGTCTAGAGATGATTGCTTATAGGGTTGGGTCACCTAAGTTAGAGGCAACAAAGGCCAGAGGAGGCCAGAGCTCTCCTTGAGACTAGAGATAAGCCTAAAGGAGAGTGTTTCTCTAATCAACACTGAACTGAAACCTATAGGGATAAAGCACAGCCAATGCGGATAACCCCTTCCAAGATTACCCACCACTAGATAAATGTAAGGCGTGGCCTCCATCTGTCTGCTGTAGGCACGGAGGACTGAGAAAGCAAAATTCCACTGGAAAAAGTGAAAAGAATTTTGAGCTGAGGCCTGCCGGGAATGGGGCCATCTCCCAGTCTATAAAGTGGTGATGGCGACAGTACCTCCCGCAAGGGTCCTTGTGATGATGTAATGAGATAATGCATTCAAAATGCTCAACACAGTGCCTGGCACCCAGTAATCAATGCCTAAGCAAAGCGATCCAGTAGTTCACGGTATTATCCTCTGGGCTCACTCTTTGATGGCATTGGGCCTGAGGATATTAAATCTCTTCTGTAATTGGCCCTCCCATTGGCAGGGTGGGAGCTTGCTATCTCACCACTGAGGCCCCGCGTTCGCCAGTTCCAATAACACGATGAGTCATTTTTCATTCCTGAGATGTCTACCCATGGGTGGGTGCATGTGTGCATGTGTGAGTGTATATGTGCCTTTCAGAGAAGGGGAAAATCCATATTCTCTCTCTTCTGACCGAATTAATCAAATAAATCTTCTATAAGGAGCTGCTAAATGAATCACAGATGGCTCTGCCCTTTTACAGGTTGCAGAAAGCACCCGTTACAGTTCTTTTAATTTATCAGAGGAAAAAAGATGCCCTCGTGTGCCCCTTCCCTCTTGCAATAATAATCAGAACCAGTCTATTTTCCAAGGGTCCGAGACTCATTTTCAAAAAATGTGTATCAATAGATGTAACAGCGGGAAGATTATTTTGCCAAGTTCCAGCCTCCAGCATGGGGAAGGTGCCCTGGCTGGGGAGAGCGTTTATAAAACCACATTTAATAAAAGAGAGTGTTATATTAAGTATGTTTGCTAGTGTATTTAAGCATATGGTTTCCATATCAGGCATAAAGATGCCAAACACATGCTTTACCTTCTTCCTAACCTTTCCTAGAGACGTCCTTTCTAAGGGGTGGTGGGATGGGAGGAATTTTTGTGGATGCGAGTGTGTTGTTTTGTTTTGCTTTTTTACAATTCTGGCTCACATGGAAAAGCACTGAGGAATGTTCAGAAAACATGTGAAGACTCTGCCTTTTCTACTTATGTAATTAGCCCAAGAAACTCGCCTTGCTGACTTTATTTAAGTGTCCCAACATCCTCCTTGAGCTCCCTTGCCAAGGCGCTAGGGTCTGGCTGATTTTAAAGTGTGAATCAATTTCAGCTGTAAAGAACTTGAGCTCCTGGATTTTAGACGTGAACCCTTTGGTAAAAACAAGAGCTCCAAGAATGGCTGCCCAGCTTTGTGTCCGCATGAGTCCCGGCTTGCAGCAACCCATCCAATGATTGTCTGCCCACAGATACCCTTTTTGTACCTGGGCTGAGCATTAGAGATTTTATCCTTTTTCCTGTAGGTCAGAGGCAACCTTCTATGGCCCTGGAGTCATGGGGTCCCTGGAAAGGCAGCTTGAATGGGTCTCCATGGCCCCCCCATCATAAAACAATCCCCAAATTCTGAGATCATCCCGGAAGCCAAAATGCCAAGCTAGGAAGGGGGTTGAGGAGGGGCCTCTGCAGGGAAGCCGCCCAGCCCACCCCCCACACCAGCAAGCAGATTTGCCTAGGCGAGTTATAAATCTACTGGTACCATTTCTTTTTCGTCACTTGCCTAATCCTGTGCCCTTCGTTTCATGTGCTGTAATTATTAACATCTGCTTTCTGAGCCTGGACCGCATGGAGTTTGCAAAGGCAGTTTTCAGTCCAGAACAATGGTGACAGCTGTTTCATTTAGCCTCAGGCCAGCACTTCCTGTTCAGTCTACATCTGCCCTCCTGTGTCCAATTTCTGTTTCAGGGTTTTGTGTTTTGTTTTCTATTTTTTTCCCCTTCATCTGACCTTGCTATATGTTTAAGAAGAATTTCTAACTTAGCACTGCAGCTAGGATTTCTAGCACATATGCTTATTACATTGGCGACAGCCAGAGAGACACAGGAGAAAGCCCAGATTGTCTCCAGCAACCAACACTGTGGAGGGCAGGGACAGAAGGGAGGGCTGGCTGGGGACCCGGGAACCAGGCTTGAAGGAAATTCTTGGGGCTTGGAGGTGGGGACTTGTGTGACCTCTCTAGAACTTAGACACAGGAAAGACGGGCCCAGCTCATCTGTGCCCAGGCCCGGGGGGCTTATTTGGCAAGGGGTCACCCAGACATCCCACGGAGGAAGCCCGTGTGTGTGGGTGGCCACCAACATGCAAGGGCCCCGCTTCTTTGGAAGTCAAGCAAGTTGCAGAGACCCAGATTCACTTTATCCCATGGAGTCACCAGCGTGCCATCAAAATCCCTTTTAATTTGCACAGGGAGATGCACAGAACGGGAAAAGGAAATGCTGTGGGTAGGAAAATAAAGGACTTCAGCTTTAAATAATCTGCCCAGACCCCTTCCGCATACCTGGCTGTGTGTGACCAAAGAGAAAGGAGACTGCAGCCCACTCCTGCGCCCCCATCCACCCCACCCATCCTAACTCCATCCGATCCAGGCTCGGGCTCCCCAGCTCGGCTGGCATACAGATGTCCAGTTATTAGCCGAGACCCCACCACAAGCGCCAGGTTACAGACCTCAAGATTTGTGAAAGCTGCCTTCAGGCATTGCTGGATATTTCTTGCCAAATAGGGCAAAAACCAATCTCTGCACGGAAAACAACTTTCAGGAAGGTGTAAGTGTCCCGCGAATGTGCTGCGCAGAGCTTGGGAATCAGGGAGGGAGCCGTGAGTACTCAAATCAGGACACGTGGAGTCTGCATCTGTGCCTTCTGCTGGATCTGGGGGTGTCAGGATTGGCAGAGGCTCTGGAGATCCACTGCCCCACTTCTTTCGTTTTCTTAACAGGTGACGAAACTGAGCATCAGCGAGAGGAAGTGACTATTCGTCAGCTGTGACTGGGTCTAGCTTGATTTTATCCAGAGAGAAACACAGAAAGGTCAATCTGTGTCAGTTCTAGGATCGTGAGGTGTTTTTAGCATCTCAATATGAAGTGTCTCCTTCAGTCCTAGGCCCTGTTCACCCTTCTAAGTGACTCACATTAAAATAACTCAAGACCTCACTCCCAGATGGAAAGAGTGAGGCAAGTCGGGGGGACCTCGGCGGCAGCCGTCAGTGCTGAGGCCCATGCCAAACCCATGGCTCCCGGCCGCCGGAGGACTGCTGGACCCCCTAGCTCCCCATGGCTCCCGGCCGCCGGAGGATTGCTGGACCCCCCAGCTCCCAAGAGCAGAGTCAGTGCTGACCAGACACCACCCGAGGTTCTGGGTGGACAGAGGAGGGCCCATGTCCTCCAGAGGGTAGGCAGACAGAAAGGAGAGAGGCCGCTGCCAGGGATTGGGGTGCAGAGCCGGGAAAGCCAAAACCCGAGGGCACTCACCATTCCTGCACCTTGATTTGAGCCTGAAGTGGCCACGAGGCCTGACCCAGGCTGGCAGAGGCATCACAGGGCCATTCCCTAAACTCCAGAAGCACAGCCGAGGCCTGCGCCCCTCCACCTGCTGGGAGCCTGCTCCAGCCCCTGGGCTCCTCCCAGCCTGACGGTCCAGGCCCCTGGCCCTGCCCCCACCCCCTACCCCTGGCCGCCCCCTCCACTCTTCCTTCCTTTTCTCACTCACTCTTTTTCTTCTTAAAGTTAATTGCAACTTTTTTCTCAGGGCCTTGATCTGGATAAGCCACATCTCATTAGAAAAAGATTTAGCTGGAGCCAAAGCAGGCTAGAGAAGGAATCCCTAATCAACAGAGAAAAGATTTGGGTGTAATTGCTCTCTCCCGCCATTCTCGCCCCCTCCCTCCTCCAATCTTTTTCTGCTCATTAATCTGAAAAGAAAGTCGCAGTCTAATGTCTTGGTGTTCAAGTATCTACCTCTGCATCAAACCAATTGAAGCGCTTTGGGCTTTTGAAGGGGGGTCTGTATGGAGAGCATTGGCTGTTGGGGTGCATGGGGGTAAAATATTTTGGTTGTTGGGGACTGTGTATGATGCACGTTGGTTGAAGGAGTAAAGCTGTTTGGGTGTGCATGTGGGTGTGTGTGTGAAGTGCTTTGGGCGTTGGGGCATGTGAGTGTGTGTGTGGACCCTTTGGTTGGGGTGCGTATGTGTGTAAAGCTCTGTGCGTGTGTATATTAAGTACTTTGCTTATTGGGCAGATGCGTGAAGCGCTTCTGATCTCTGGGTTGCATGTGTGAAGTACTTTGGTCATTGGGTGCATGTGTGTAAAGGCTGTTGTGGTGTGTGGAGTGCTTGGTTGTCGGGGTGGGCATTGTGTGTTTGTGGGTGTAAAGGGCTTTTGGGGTTGGATGCGGATAGTTGAAGTGGCTCATTTGTTAGTATGTGGGTATGAAGTGGTTTGGTTGGTGAGGGGTGCATGTGTAGTCCTTAGGTTGTGTAAGTGTGTGTGTGCATGCATGCGTGCGTGTGTGAGAGGGAAGCGCTGTGTTTGCTGGGTGTATACGTGTTACATGCCTGAGTAGCTGCTTTCCTTTTACCCCAGTTAAACCCCGACAGATGCTTAAATGGTGATACATGGAAAATGAATTTCGGAGCAAACCATCTTCCCAGGCAGGGACCCTGGATCCTCTAACACCCAGCAATGAAATGGTACAGCATTTTCAGGCTCTCTCTTCAGAACTGGGAATTTTTTTACAATGATCATTTATCATTGGTGGGGGTGGGGGGGATATTTGAATTAGTTTTTTTTTTTTTAATTGAAAAAATTAATTCATGTTCACAACGAAAAAAAAAAGCAGGAATACATACTCCTGGTAAAATGGGAATATTACAAGGGGCTAGAGAATGAAAAGTCAAGCTCTCTCGCACTGCTGTCTCCGGCTCCCCTCCCCAGTCACCCATTACCAGTAACTTTTGTGCCATCCCAAACACAGGCCACGTGTCTATGTTCCATGTTGGCCTATATTATACACTTTGCTTTTTTCACTTCAGAGTACATCTCAGAGATTGTTCTCTGTCAGCATAGATTTTATTAATATTGTATTTTTTAACTATAAAATTAATTGATTAGGGAAAATAAGATGCCTCTATTCTGGACAAGCCAAAGTACTAGGAACCATGTCTCTCCCTGTAAAATATAATCATGGTACACTGGTCTGATGCTGAGTCTCCTGTTTATTGCCTCATTTATTCCTCAGAAAACCCCAAGAAGGAGTTACCACCCCACTCATAGAGGAAGACACCAATGCAGAGAGAGGTTGGATCACTCACCAAAGCCACACAGGACGTGGCAGAGCTGGAATGTGAACCCAGGTAGGCTGAATGCAGAGCTCTGGCCCTCAACCTCTGCCTTCCAGAAAAAATAAAAAGGAAGGAACTGTCTGGGAGCTGGAGTGAGGGGAGAGTTAGAGGGGTCTCTACCACCCCTAGACCCGCTAGAGAGCCTAGAGCCCTGTGTCTGAGCTACCCCACCTGCATTTGTCACTCTCCACGAGCCACAGTGACCACTGCTGTCAGGAGAACCCAAGCAGACGCTGGCTCCCATCTCCCAGCCCAGGCCCCTGAGGGTGAAGCGTGGCTTGAGCCTTTTCATGTTTCTCTGAGCACGGCCCATGCACAATTGCACCCCTTCTACCTGCTTATTATCAAATATAAGTCGCGGTCACGAAGGTGGGGCACTCCTGTAATGAGGGTGTTTCCGTTGAGGCCAGAGAGTTGAGCTGGGCGCGGCGAGGTGGGGCTCTAAGCTGGCAAGCAAAGACAACATTCCACAGACCAGATCCCTGAGCCCCAGGGTGCCACAATACCAAGCCCATCCCGAGGGAGGATGTGATCTCTCCACCTCCCGCATCACCCCACCATCCTCTGCATTCCTCTCTCTTAATGTATCTTAGTCTGCTGTGCAGTTTTTAAGAACACTTCCACCACATCAAGGACAAAATGGACATGAACATTTGCAGAGAATGGGAAAGATCTGTTTGTGGTGTTGGAGGAAACCTATCTCGGAAGGGAAGGTTTTCAAAGACAGCCCAGAGGCCTGCTGACGACAGGGGAGTACTGGGGACTTGTTAGGCCAGGAAGGCGGCCATCTCTGTTCTGTTAGGGTCCCAAATGATGACCATCTACAGACAAGGTGTAGATACGAAGATCCTCCTAAAGCGCAGAGCCATGTGCTCAAAATGCTATGGAGGGGGAAAACAGTCCTGTCCCACACAGCAGCCCCTTGCCACGTGACCAGTCCAAATTGAGATGTGCTGTAAGTGCAAAACACACACCCCATCTTGAAGACTTCATGTGAAAATGAAACGAAGTATCGCATTAACAATTGGATATTGACTAGACGTTGAAATGATGGTATTTGGAAGCTACTGCATTCAATGAAACAATTTATGAACATTAATCATGGTGTGTGCTTTGGTTCCCCCTTTACTTTTTTTTTTTTTTTTTGATGTGGCTATTAGAAAATTTAAAATTACATATGTGGCTATCATTACATTTGTACGGGGCAGCACTAGCTTAGAATCTAGCCTTTCATGAATATATATTGCTACCCCCATTTTACCAATGAACAAACCAGCTCAGAGTTGAGTGGCTTGACCAAAGTCACCAGCTAATAGCCACAGAAGCCAGAATTCACATTATGAGAGGCCAGTGATTCCAGCTGGACAGTCTACTAGTTGATAAAACTCCTAAAATAAGAGAGGTGGTGTTATTTTCACAAGCTCTTATGCAAAAGTGTTCAGTGCCAGCAAGGACTGAAGCAAATGTGGAATCTGAGGAAAGCAAACTAAAAGCTTGCGATTGGCCGGGCACGGTGACTCACACCTGTAATCCCAGCACTTTGGGAGGTCGAGGTGAGAAGATCACTTGAGCTCAGGAGTTCGAGATCAGCCTGGGCAACATAGCAATACAACATGATGACGCATGTGCCGGTAGTTCCAGCTACTGGGGATGGGGAGTGCTGAGGAGGGAGGATTGCTTGAGTCCAAGAGTTCGAGGCTGCAGTGAACTATGGTCGCATCACTGCACTCCAGCCTGGGCAACAGGGCGAGACCCTGTCTCTAAATAAACAAGCAAACAAATAAATAATAAAGGCCTGTGCTTGACCTCCTGACATTGGTTGGGAATGTTAAAGGCACTGGGTTGCTCTTCCTGCACAGGGACTGGGCAGGCTTCTGTGTAAACTTAGCCAGTCCCTTCCCCTCTTTGGGCCTCAGCTTACCCATCTGTCAACACTGAGTGGTGGACTAGATGTTCTCTGAAGTCTATCAGGACACCTTGGTACATCTCAGCGGATTCCTCCCCTGCAGGGGTGAGGGTGAAATCCGAAGCACCGAACTGGGTCCGTGGGCTAGTGACAACCTCTCTCGTGTCATCTGTGAGTTGGGGATGAGAAGAGGTGAACTTCAGAGGTTGGCACTGACAATGAATAAGATAGTGCAGGTAAACATCTCCAGCACATGCCTGGTACACAGGCAGCGCTCAATGGATGCTAGCTCTTGTAGTCACTGTGATAGTTACTAGGTTGATCAGCTGACATGGATTTTTTCTGGGCTTGTGGACTCAGATTATCATGCAGTTTCTGCCTGGGAGCCTCCCACTAAACAGATAGACTCAAATGCTGAATTTGCTGGAAGGCAGGTTCACCTTGCACTTGGCTTTCAAAGGGTTCCTTACTACTGCAACTCAATTCCATGACTGGATGGATAACAGAAGCACCTGGGAGGAGGGCAGCTTGGCAGAGGCCCACAGGGAGATTCAAGGTTTCATAACAAAGCATCTTCTGGTGTGTTAACAGTAAGATTAGGCCAGGTGTGGTGGCTCACGCCTGTAATCCCAGCACTTTGGGAGGCCAAGGCAGGTGGATCACCTGAGGTCAGGAGTTTGAGACGAGCCTGGCCAACCTGGTGAAACCCCCTCTCTACTAAAAATACAAAACAATTAGCTGGGCATGGTGGCGGGCGCCTGTAATTCCAACTACTCAGGAGGCAGAGTCAGGAGAATCCCTTGAACCCGGGAGGCGGAGGTTGCATGAGCCGAGATCACACCACTGCACTCCAGCCTGGGCAACAGGAGCAAAACTCCGTCTCAAAATAATAATAATAATAATAAGACTAGAAATGTCCACGGCACCGGCGGTGTGTTAGGGGCTCACCTTTTTCCCTGAGTAGTTGTCCAATGTCACTTTTCCATCTACAGGAGTGATGCCAATCCGTGGCCACAGGCTTTCTTCTGCCCCTTTTCCCCACCGTGGGAGGACTCTGACTTTCTTTCATCTCAACAGCTGTTTACATTTTTTTACCCCTGAATTGTGGGTAAACAGCCTCCTGTATTAGATAAAGGCTTTATCAACTCACTGGCTCATCCCCTCCACACAACCTCCAGTGCAAGTCTGCGTCGGGAGTAAGCCAAACTTGATGACTCTCCTGGCTCCTTATTTTGCACTTAATTGGAAGAACCTTGAGTTCAAAGTGTGGGAGCCCAGCCGTCTCTGGCGTGCGTCGGCTGCCACCTGCTGGGAAATCCTGGTATGGCGTGGTCTCCTCGGCCGACAGGCTCGCTCGCTGGGGGAAGAGGTTCATTCACTCAGCCAACAGGTTTTCTGGAGCAGGAAATATGTGTCAGCCAGAGTCCTAGGCACTTGGAATGATTCAGTGAACAAAACAGAGACCCGTATACCTGATTTTCTGGAGCTTATCATTTTTCAGAGGGTGACAGGCAATAGACAATATCACAAATACATGATACCATATGTTAGGAAGTGATCAATATGTGGGAAGATTTTTTTTTTTAAGTAGAACGTGTAAGGGGGGTTGAAGTGCTCAATGGGGGAAGGTGAGTTGTAAAGAGTTTTCAGGGTCAGCCTCATTGAGAAGGCTGAAGCTTTTTGAACAAAAGCTTGAAGGAAATGAGGGAAATTTCCGTGGGGGAAGAGTGAGGCTGTCTGGGGAGATGAGAGTGCAAAGGCCCTGGGGTAGGAATGTGCTCGTGTCATTCAGAGAATACCAAGGAAGCCTGTGGTGCTGGAGAGAGTGGGCCACAGAGGAAAGGTCACGGTAGCGATCAGAAAGAAGGGAGGCCAGAAGGTGCAGGGTCTCGTGGGCCACGTTTAAGGGCCATGACTGTATTAGTCAGCTTGGTCTGCCATAACAAAATACCAGCTACTGGTGTAACATTTAGTTCCTCCATAAGAGAAAACCTGGTAGGCGTGTTGGCTCACACCTGTAATCACCTTTGGAAGGCCAAGGCAGGTGGATCACTTGAGCTCAGGAGTTCGATACCAGCCTGGCCAACATGGTAAAACCCTATCTCTATCAAAAAAAGAAAAAAAAAAAAAGAAATATGACAAAATAATATAACTTCCATTGACTTTTTTTTTGGACATATAATTTCATTTACTAGATACATGAACCAATCCTAAAATATGTGTTTTGCCCCTGTATTACAGATAGGTAAACTGAGGTTGAGTTATTGTATCACATGGGAAGCTGATAATTGAAACTAAGTCTGTCTAAATGTGAAGTCTTAGCTCATTTTGTTAAGTCACCCCTACCTCCCTAAGGTATGTGTATTCCTCTCTGGATTTGATTTGCTAATATTTTGTTGAGGATTTTTGCATCTAAGTTCATGAGAGATGCTGGTCTGTGATTTTCTTTTCTTGTAAAATCTTTATCTGGCTTTGGAATCAAGGTTAAACCAGCTTCATAAAATGAATTGGGAAGTATTCCCTTCTCTTCTAGTTTCTGAATAACATGGTGTAAAATTCCGGTTTTTTTTTTTTTTTTTTTTTAAGAATTCTCCAGAAAAACCATCTCTGAAGCTTTTTAAATTACAAAGTCCATTTCTTTCATAGTTTTTGAGCTATTCAGATTGTCTGTTTCATCTGGGTTGGGTTTTGATAGGTTGCAGTATTTACAGAATTGGTTCATTCCTTTTAAGTTGTTGAATTTATGAGCATAAAGTTGTTCAAAGCATCTGCTCATCATATTTTTAGCAACTACAGGATTTGTAGTGATATCCTCTGTCTCAACTCTGAGATTGTGGTAATATGTCTTCTCTCTTTTTATTTTTGTCAGTCTTTCTAGAGATGTATCAATTTTATTGGTTTTTTTTAAGAACAATCTTTTTGTTTTATTGATTTTTCTCTATTATTTTCCTATTTTCAATTTATTTCTGCTCCTATTTTTATTTCCTTTCTTCTGCTTGCTTTGGGTGTAATTTTCTTCTTATTTTTCTAGTTTTATGAAGTGAGAACTTCGATTATTGATTTCAGATGTTTCCTCTTCTAATCATAGCATCTAGTGTTATAAATTTTCCTCTCAGCACTGCTTTAGCTGCATCTCAGAGTTCTATGTGTTTTTAATTCCCTTTGAGACTCCTTCTTTGACCCATGAATTATTTAGAAGTATGCCATTTAACTTCCAAGTGTTTGAAGATTTTCCCATGGTCTTTCTGCCCTCTGAATTTTAGTAACTGTCTCTGATATTATTTCATTTCCATGAGAACAGGACCAGGACATTATTTATTCTACCGCTACATCACTGATGATGGGAACAGAACAATAGTATGCTCTCAATAAATAAGGATGAATGAATGATTGAAATAATTTAAAAATCAAAACACGAAAAACTGAAGCTTAAAAAGGAAGAAGAGGTCATCAGAAAGTTGATGGTGATTATAAGTGGGTGGGAAAATATGGTTACCTTTTATTTTCTTTTTATTTTATATTTTCCAAATTCTCTGCAATGAGCATGTCCTGCTTTTACTATCAGGAAAAGGAATTATAACAGTGGAAGTTGCCATTGCTGATTGTTTTCACCCTCTCCCTGGCAGGTCATATCAGAATGTGAGTTGCTAAAAAATACTGAAGATGACAGGACCTCAAAGGGCCCTTAAGAAGGTCCCAGAGCTGAATTGACCCAGACCCCTCAGAAGACAGGGAAGGACCTTGCTAGTCACCCAACTTTTGTAGGCTTGTAAGATTACTGCAACAATAACTTTCTCAATGAGATCATGCACCTTTTCAGTCACAGGATCATTTTCATGTTTCTCCTCTAGGCACACAAAAGTCCTTAGAGATCTCATGAATTAGTGTTTATCCCAGGATATCTGGCTTGGCATTGTAAATAAAATGTCCATCTGCCTAAGTCCAGCCATCAAAATTACTTTGACAATTTACTCTGAGAAGCAGTATTAGCATTTGTTTTCAGGGTTCATGATGGGCAAAAGATTACTTAAAAATAGGAGGGAACAGAGAAGAGAGATCGTAGTTTTTTGGTCTTGTTTGTTTTTTTAAAAAAACATTGCCATCTCTTACATCTTTAGTCTCAGTCTCTTCATGATTTTTCAAGGCAATTTCTTTGGGAAGCCAAGTGGCTGAGACAATTTGATGATAACTCAACCAACCTGCATCACTACCTAAACAGTTTTTAGGTATAGACAGTTTCTAAAGATGAGTGAACATGCTTTTCCACTTTTGAAAATACTCCTGAAAACTTGGTTTCAATTTTTTCAACAAAGTGATTGCCCAGATCTGAAAATGTTTTTTCACCCTTTTCTGCTTTTGAGATGAGGTGATTTCCTGCAAGGTCCAGGGATTTTGGAAGGCTCAGGATAAGGCAATTTTATGAACCGATGCCTGGGGGTAGTGCAGAATGCCATGAATGGGGATGTCCCACAAAAGGCAGGGAAGCGGATGTGGCAGCAGCTATGTCCTCTTTGGAGCAGAGCCACAGAGGGCATCAGGATCAGTGAGCGGATCTTTATCAGTCTGTCCGAATCTTAAAGAATAGCCAAGGACATGAGAATCTGGAAAACAATAACATAATCAAACTGGGGGAGAATTTGATTCTCCCCCAATGAAGAATCCACATCCCAGGCACAATTCATGTCAAACAACATAGGCTATGCTGAAACCAGCCAGAAATGGGGTCTTGTAATATAAACTAGTCTGTGTCTTACAAATCATTTGATTTCTATAATTCCTAGACACTTGATTGGCTAATTTTTTTCTGTTGCTGAGTTGACTGATCTGAATTCCTATGTCAAAAGGCATAGATTTTTTTATTCATTGAATTTGTATTGACACCCACTGTTCCATTTAATTCAAAATTATTCATTCCTCCATGGACCCCTGGTAGAGACCAACCTCAGCCACTTTGGGAGACTGCTCACCAAATGTCTCTAGTTCCCTGCTTTCTGAGCGTGTGAGGCTTCTCCTTCCCTGACTGTGACAGTTAGGCATGGCCACAAGCCCACTTTGGCCCATTAAATGTGTACAGAAGGGACACATTGGGCCAGTGAGTAATTCACTCCATACTCTCTCTTCTGTTGTAATTGGGGATGTGTGTGTTGAGAAGACACCATCGGGGGTCCCAAACTAACTATGACACGCACACCACTCCATGTTGACCTGCAATGGACAGGTAATGTGAACAAAAGAAAATATTTATTGTATAATGCTGCTGAGATCAGGTGGTTGTTACCTGCAACGTCACCTGCCCTCTCCTCGCTGATGCGAAAGCACACACACACGCACTTGTCCATATGTTTTGTATATACGTTGTGCTGCTTGGGAAGGAGGTACTCTCTCTTTGCCACAACTCTCCCAACTGAGAATTCTCTTTTGTCCTGCCATGGGATTCCTGTGGCTAATTCACTGGATTTATTCATTTCTTGGTTGGTTTTCCATGTAAAAAGCCAAAGGAGACTTGGAACATATGTACCCCAGGGCAGTGGGTAAATCCAAGAGAGATGCAATCTCTGTCTCTAAGGGCTTACAAACTGGCTTGGCAGAAGACAGATCCAGGCAATATATAATAATGAAAACCACAAACGGGTGCTCCAGAGCAAAATGACAAGATGCTTGCATGGCAGCAGTTTTAAGAAGGAATGCATCAGGCGGGGTGCAGAGGGAATGTAAGAGCAGCTCTGGTCCCAGGTGACTCCTCTCAGCCTCTCCAGATCCACCCTTTGCCCCTCTCCACGCTGCTCTCTACCCCACGAGACTGACCTGTCTGTCCTCTAGTAATAGACTGCTCCCGCTCTGGCTCTGGGCTGGGTCTGGTCAATGGGGTCTCTGATAGACTAGAAGGAAGTCGGTCAGTGAAGTTGGCATATTTATTCCTCTGTCTCTGTTCTCACAGGGTCATCTCAGGCTGGCTGCATGCCTCAGCTGAAGATCCCAGCTCCTGTCAATGCCACCTCTCCGCTTGACTGTCTCCTTCCAGACTCGGTAACTCTCTCCTTTCGGCACTTTAGGCCCAGGGGTGGTAAGAACCCTGCACTGAGATCCCAGCTCCAGGATATCGCACCAGCCCTTTCAGTTTCCCTATACCCTGCCCACACCTTAGTCAAGGCAGGTGTGGGCAGGATACACATTTTTTTTTTAAGGGACTCCTTAAAGCATCCTAATTTGAGTGTGCTTCTGTTTCCTGATAGTCCCTGACCACTAGATCTCGCTTTAGGGAGCCAGCAGTAAAAAGGAAATGAATGCTTTTTCTAATTATAGGGTCAGTTGGTAAAAGAGGCGGAAAGCTTTTTAAAATGATTCATTCTTCATTAAGAAATGAGTTATTAAATGCCTTTGCTTCTCCCCAGCCAAAGTGAAAGATTCTTCTCTAGAGTTTTAAAAAACGCTGGAGGCCAAGTATTGGCCTCTTTGCACCTGTGATAAGCAAATGGGCTGTCCTGGAGCCTTTGTTTCCCAAAGTCCTTCACCAATACTGAGGCACAGAGGCCAGCCAGGATGTCACTTCACCACCAAGGAGCTCCCCCAATCCCCCCTTATCTGGCAAAGTTGACACCAGAATTCCAACCACTGTTTTTAACTAGAGCCCGAGAGCAGAACCTAATTTCCAGATACTCAAGGAAAATTGTAACCCTTCTTTGGAGTTTCCGTATTTAGCATAGAGCTGCTGGAGAAGGAGGCGCTGTCTCTTTGCCATAACTCTTCCAACTAGGGATTCTCTTTTTTCCTGCAGTGGGATTCCTGTGGCTAATTCACTGGATTTAGTCATTTCTTGGTTTTCCACGTGCAAAGTCAAAGGACACTTGGGTCTGGAGGTGCTCTAGGCCCTGTCCTCTGTTCCCAATTCCCAGGGACCCTCACGCCTTAGCTGTCTCCAACTCTGGAGAGGTGCAGCCGGGAGGAGGCTGATACCTGGAGCCCCAATGTTTCCCAAAGCAGCTGGAAGACACGAACACATGATTACAGCTGCTGGGACTGGATCTGGGGGGTGGGTCAGCTCAGGCATGCCAGGATATAAAGAGAGAGGAAGTGCAGATGGCAATTTGGAAGATTTAGGAGTTCTTGGGCTGTCATCGGGTTTTATGTGTTGTCATTGACATATGTTTGTCTTCTCTCCAGAGCAGGTATGAGCTGGGAAGAATGCAGGCAGGGCATGCCCGTGTGCCAGCCCTGCACAGCTGGAGAGATGAGGCAAGACGTGGAGCAGAAGCCGGGGATTGTCTGGAAGTCTAAGGGTGTTGTTTGCCCCTTGGGCTCCAGAAGATGCATGCCAGGACCTGGGGTGGCACCACCAGGAAGCAACAGAGAGGAGATAAAACTCACAGCAGACAGATTTGCCTTAACAACAACTGTCTTGAATTAAAACACGCTTTTCAAGAAAACAAATATCAGTTCAATCAGCAAATAGCAGAGAAGTTTCTCATCATAAAGGCAAAGAAGGGCCCAGTTGCAGACCAGTGTAAGAGCTTCAGAAGAGGAGAGGGGAGATGAGATGGCCAGAAGGAGCAAGAGCACCATACATCCCTGGACAACCTCATTCTAATGGGTCAGGAACTGGGACGTGCATTTTGGAGTGCAGGAGAAGTGGCAACTCACAAATGCTAGATTTTCTTCTAGAGATGACCAAGCTGTAGTTCTCAAAGCAGTGGCACTAGGACAGAAAACTCTCACACTTTGACATGCACACACAGCCCCTGGGGATCTCGTTAACATGTAGATTCTGATTCCGTAGGTCGGGCTGAAATTCTGCATTTCCAACAAGCTCCTAGATGAGGTCCATTTTGCTGGTCCATGATCACACTTAGGATAAGTAGCAAGGCATAGGAGGATGCTGACTTTCCTCAGTGATGCTTGTGCTTCCCTCCAAACTAAAATAAAACAAAAGCAGATATCAATGGCCCAATTCAACAGCCTGAGAATTTTGGTGATAATGACCCAAGCCCTGGCCTGGTGACCAGGTGGCTGCTCAGGGAGCTCCATCTCCAAATTCCTTCCCTTCCTGCCTCCCCCCCAAGAGTGAGTAATGTGCCAGAGTTCACTGGGGTCTGCTGTTCCCAGGGAAAGGTGGCCCAGTCACCAAGTGCAAGTGTATAGAATGGCTCACCTGTGCAAAGCTATCAGCCCTGGACCTATGGGCCTAGAAACATGACTTGCCACTCACTATCATTCATTCATTTCTGCAACAAACGCTTCCTGAGCACATGCTGTCCACCAGGCCCTGAGCTCATCTCTGGGGATACAGGATGGACGGCAGATTGTGCTCCCAGTCAGCCTGCTGGAGCACATATGAAAAGCAATACGGATGTTTTGATTTATTATCATATTGATCATTATGATGGTAGCTTTTACTTTCGGAAGGCCTGCCGTCCATTAGCCATTGTGCTAAGCACATGATATGGGTAATCTCATCAATCCTCACAACAACCTATGTGGCAGCTACTATTATTAAACCCACTTCAAAGAGGAGGGAACTGAACCTCAGAGAGGGTAAGTAACTTGCACAAGGACACCAGCTAGTCCGAGGAGAGGAACTAGGAGGAATGGCCAGGCAGGCTGTCAGCCTCTGTCCCCACGTGCTCCATCTGAGTGTCTGCTGGTGGGCACATTCCCTCCCTGAAGGGAGAGCTCCTGGGAGCTGATGGTAGCACTGAGTGAGTCTGGAATGTGATGGGAGTGCATTAGATGACATGGGTGATCTGATGAGTACAGAGGTGTCACATTGCAATGACTTCATGCATATATCTCCCCTGAATGGACAGAGATTCAGCAGAGGCCAGGAGCATGAGTTTCTGGCCCAGTGTCCCCCTCTTTCCCCTGCAGAAAGCCAGGGACACACTGCTTGGCTTTGCTACACCTTGCTAGGCAAAGGCAGTATGTTCTCCCTCTCCTTGGCCTCCCTGGCTGTCCACACATCCACACCCACTCACACACACATGCACATGATCATACACATTACCCAAGCCCACATGCCCACAGACATGCTCACACTCACACTCACATGCACGTGATCATACACATTACCCAAGCCCACATGCCCACAGACATGCTCACCCTCACATTCACATGCATACACTGCCATGCACAACACACATACATACATTCACACACACTCGCCCACGCGCACGCACACACACACACACACACACACTCTTCTGATGGCCAGTCTTTTGGAGGTATGTTGACACTGTGAAACAGGTGAAACAAAGTCTTTGCCAATCCCTGCTTTGGGCCTATTATGCTTGTTTTATAGTTTAACTCTCAAAAGACAACTTTATTTTCCAGAATCTTTCAGGTTCCCAGCCAGGTGCAGTGGCTCACGCCTGTAATCCCAGTACTTTGGGAGGCCAAAGTGGGCAGATCACCTGAGGTCAGAAGTTTGAGACCAGCCTGGCTAACATGGCGAAACCCAGTCTCCACTAAAAATACAAAAATTAGCCAGTCGTGGTGGCACACACATGTAATCCCAGCTACTCAGGAGGCTGAGGCAGGAGAATCGCTTGAACCCGGGAGGCAGAGTTTGCAGTGAGCCAAGATCGTGCCACTGCACTCCAGCCTGGGCAACAGAGGAAGACTCCATCTCAAAAAACAAAAACAAAATCATTCAGGTTCCCTAGGGGCCCCTCACTGTGTCCTGGATTCCATTCCACTTTTAGAGTCCCAAACAGCTTGTATGGCCACTTCCCTTGACACCCAAACCAGATAGGAGTCTTAAATGGCACAGAGTCTTGATGGTTCCTTTAAAAGGAAATCCACTCTCAGTGAGAAGTTGGATAACTTCGCATCCGGATTTCATCCTTCTTGGGCTTTGGTGGCTGCTGTTTGTTTTTTTGTGCAGGAGAATCTCTCCTAGCCAACGTCGATTTCACTAACACAGTGGTTAACCTTTGCTGTCTACTCTTGCATCAATCTGCCGCCTACCTCATGCTGAGCCATGCTGCTTGCTGGCATTCCTTTTGGATTTTCAATTTACTACCCAACTACCAGTCCTAATAACATCAGATAAAAAGGCTTCTGCTGTGCTGCGCTTGTGTTCAAAAACTAGGAATGCCATCAACCCAGAGTTGAGTCCAGCCTCAGAGAGACAGAATACAAATACCCAAGTGGCCCTGGGCCACTGAGTTCCTCAGACATTATGTGCTATGGGAGTTCCAGAAAGGGGGATTGCATGATTTTGAGTGCAGAAGGCTTCCTGGAGGAGGCAAGATTTCTGATGGGCCTCTGTTATGAGCTAAATTGAGTCCATCCCAAAATTCAGATGTTCAAATCCTAACCTGTAGTACCTAAGAATGTGATCTTATTTGGAAGTAGATGCATAGCAGAGGTAATTCGTTCAGATTAGGTCATAGTGGAAGAGGGTGGACCCCAATCCGATATAACTTGTGTCCTTATAAAAAGCAGAAATTTGAAGACAGACACACAAGAAGATGAAGACAGAGACCGGGCTGATGCAGCTACAAGCCAAGGAACGCCAAAGATTGCCAGCAAAGCACCAGAGCCAGGGAGAGACCTCAAACAAATTCTCCCTCCCAGCAAAAAGGAGGAAGGAAGGAACCTCCAAAAGAAGCAGGCCAGGCACGGTGACTCACACCTGTAATCCCAGCACTTTGGGAGGTTAATGCAGGCAAATCACCTGAGGTCCGGAGTTCGAGACCAGCCTGGCCAACATGGTGAAACCTCATCTCTACAGAAAAATACAAAAAGTAGCCAGGTGTAGTGGCGTGCACCTGTAGTCCCAGCTGCTCAGGAGGCTGAGGCAAGAGAATCGCTTGAATCCAGGAGGCGGAGGTTGCAGTGAGCTAAGATCGCGCCGTTGCACGCCAGCCTAGGCGACAGAGCGAGACTTCATCCCACAAAACAAAAAAGAACCCTGCTGACACCTGGATTTCAGACTTCCAGCCTCCAGAACTGTGAGATATTACATTTCTGTCATTTAAACACCCAGTTTGTAGTACTTTGTTACAATAGCCCTAGTGAGCTAATACAGCCTTGAAGGACAGGTAGGAATTTGTGATGCACAGAGAAAGCAAACTGGCCACGGTTGTTGAAATTAATAGAATTGAAGTGCCCCTATCACTACCAACCCAGGCCATCACTTACAAAGCTGTTCAACGTGATGCAGCCGCATGAGAAGGTCGGAGGGCCAGGGCAGGAGATGGGCTCCAGGTGGGCCTGGGCTACCTGCAGAGCCAGCTTGCCCTGCTGCCTAGTTGCCAAGGAGCACCTGTGGCTAGGAGGAGGCACCCAGGAAGAAAATCTGGCCACATCCCTGCCTGCCTCCCTGGCCGTGGGTGATGCTCTCTGCCAGCTGGCCCGGCTCCCCTACCACATACCTGGCTGGGAGTCAGTAGGAAAACAGTGTGTGTTTGTAGGGCTCTGCACTGAAGGGCATTAGATTCATGCAAAGGCTAATAAATTAGAGATAAGCGGGATTTGTCGATTTGCTGGAGGTTAGAGCTGCAGGATCAGCATCAGCGCTGGGTCTTTTCCATGGCCCCAGGCTGGCTCAGGTGTGAGCTGAAGAGGGAAAACTGTCTGTTTAGGTTGCATTGGGTTCCCCTAAAAGATCTGTTGAAGTCCTAACCTCGGGTACCTCTGTGCTATTTGGAAACAGGCTCTTTGCAGATGTAATCAAGGAACGATGAGGCAACACTGGACTTAGTCAGGCCCTAATCCAGGGACTGGTGTCCTCATAAGACAAGAGAAATCTGGACACAGATACACAAAGAGGAGAAAGCCATTCAAAGACACAGAGACACACGTACACAGGGAGAACGCCATGAGACAACGCAGACACAGATCGGAGTGACACAGCTGCAAACCAAGGAGCGCCAAGATTGGCAGCAACCCCCCAGGGCTGGAAGAGGCAAGAAGGAGCCTCCCCTAGAGCCTTCGGAGGGGACATGCACTGCTGACGCCTTGATTCCAGACTTCTGACCTCCGGAAGCATGGGAGAACAGATTTCCCTTGTTTGAAGGCACCCAGTTTGTGGTCCTTCATCATGGCAGCCCTCAGGAATGGATACAGGCCCTTCCCTGCCTGCCTGGTGGAGCAGCCTCCATGGGGAGCCTTTGCCAGCAGGAAGAGGCCCCACATGGAGCTCAGACCCACCTCAGAGGAACTTCTCTCAGCACTTAGCCAGGGCATGGCAGATCAAGGGTAGGTGGTCTAGGTTGATTGAAGGAATGGCATTTAGTCTTTAAAATGAAAGCGTGTTGCCTGGCTTGGTTAGTTTTGAACTCTGTAGTTCATCAAGGACTGTGTTACCCGAATATCCTCTGCAGAACACCAGTTCCATAAAGTGCTTCACACACACACCAATTCTATAACGTAGTATGTTTTGGAAAGGCTACATACTACTACAGCCCCTTTTACCGATTAGCAATG